CTTGGCGACACGTGCCCGACGACCTCTGGCTCGGAACCCACCAGAAGACCCCACCTGGCCAAGGCATCCACACCTCTCTGGAATTCTGTTATTCGCATCCCCCACCCAACAACTTCTGGCCCGGAATCCGCCCCGACACCTCATCTGGCGGGGGGAGGGAAAACTAGAGAGGAGCCACCTCCTCCGAGTTCGCCGCCATCTTGGACCGCTGGTGTGGATATCCTGGGGAGTTCTCTGAGGCGTCTTGCAAGCTTCCTTGGAGCCTCTCGGGGGCACCTCTTGGGGGCACCTCTTGGAGACTCTTGGAGTTTATTGGGTGCCTTTGGGAGATCTTTTGGGGCTCGTGGGAGCCTCTTGGGGGCTCCTGAGCCTTTGTGAGGCTCTTGTGGGCCTCTTGGGCGCCTCCTGGGGCGCTTTGGAGCCTCTTGGTAGCTTTTTGGGAGCCTCGTTGGTGCTTCTTCGGGCATCACGTGAGTCTATTGCGGCCTCTTGGGACCCATTGGGTGCGTTCGGGCCGCCTATTGGGAGCATCCTGGGGCACTTTTAGGGATCGCGCGCAAAAACCTCGGAGGCGTATCGCACGGGACGATGCGCGAACGCCAAAAACGCACAGATGTCCTGTGAGCGTTTCAACTCTCGCGGGCCTCCTCGGAGCTCTATATATTGGACAGCCTCGGGGCCCTGTTGGACAGCACTCCTCGCGCCCTCTTGGGTGCCCGTGGAAGCCTCGGAGCCCTTTCAAAAGGGCTCCGAGGCTTCCACCAATCAAAAATTCAAAAAAAAAAAAAAAAAAAAAAAAAAAACATTGTCGAGGCCCTGGTTTTGTTTCCTGGTGGGGGACGGACCCGACTTTTGGGCCGCCTCTGCAATTCACAGCCCAGAGCCTGCCTCTTCTGAGCCGACTTACGACAGATGGCCCATCGAGGCCAAGCGTGATCTATATATATATATATGCTTCAGGCTCCAAAGGAGCCTCGTGTATGTTAGCCAAGCGTTTCCCGGCTAATCGGGCCCCCATAAGACTCCAGGTTTCAGCAAGCCTTGCTCAGTAGGCCCTCCGTTTCCCTAGCAACAAGTTGCAACATATATTATAAACAGAACAGGTTCAACCGAAACCGTTCTGGCTCAAGACCTTGCAGCGTCTCAGCGACGCTGGATTTCTGGTGTGCGTCCAAGAGACGCAGAGAAGCGAACTGCCCGCTAACAAACAGATCCTATTCCCCACCATAGTGTGATCAGCATCGCACAGCCACTGCCCCATCGTATACGACCAGTTTTGAGACGAGCCCAACACTTCCTATTTTGATATCAACACATTGTCAGAGAAGAGAAGAGAGTAGCTTATATTCAGGATTGTTATCAGGGCAGTGGTCAGAAGCGGGACCATTGCATGGTAGCGGAGCTATCAAGCTCCACGGACGACAGATTCACGGACATCAAGTTTCATCGTGTGAGCCATGACTAAGAACAACGGCACCGATGACATTATCCCCAAGTGGAATGGAGATCTCACCACGGTAGACGATTATGAGAGAGACGTCAAGGCCTACATCCGAGGGACGAGGCGAGATGAGAGATACGTGTGCGGCCCACGTCTATGGAGACGACTAGAAGGCAGAGCCCGACAGGCAGCTAAGGACGTGGACTGGGACCGCATCGAGAAAGATGATGGAGCTGCAGAGCTACTACGACACGTTCGAGCGAAGCTCGGAGCTCAGCCCATCCAGGATGCAGGCAAGTATCTGGCGAGATGGATCTTCGACTTACGCAGAGATACAGGAGAGCCGATGCCGAGTTATATTAGCAGAGACGACGAGGCCTACCACGACGTTGTGAAAGGGTTTGGCACCGAGTATTTCAAGAAGCAGCGTACGGCCCGACTCTCCGAGAGATCAAAGTTGTGGAACACCCTCTACAGTAAGCTGAAGTGGCTTCTTCACAAGATCGAGCATGAGGGCCCAGAAGACGCTGCAGAAGTAGCGAAGGACCTCAACTGGCGTCTCTGGAGTTTTGTCAGCAACGGCCTAGAGGAGATCCCCGAGCATCCAGATTTCGGTACCGACTTCAATCAGGCGATTCCTCTGGACCAACTGCGAGGATGGCTACTGCTGCAGAGATCAAGATTGTCCCCGACCGAGCGTGCAGCAGTGATCAGCGCAGTTAAAGGCAACTTCGACTACGACAGCATCGGAGAGCAGCTGCGAGTATCTTGGCCCGACGATGAGTTGACAAATCGCGACAAGAAGCAAGGCAAGGACAACCATCGTCATCGAGAGCGAGGTCGAATCCACGCCGGCTGGGAGGGGAACAGCGAGGACGACGACGACTACAGCTACTACGACGGAGAGCAGTCGGAGGTCTCCTACGAGGATGGCGACGGCGACGAGGACGAAGGAGATCCCGAGGAGCCGCTCTACAGCGCCCAGGAGATCGAGGACGCCGAGACCGCGTTCGCCGCCCAGCAGCGCAGCTTCGAGGAAGCCAGAGACCTCCTTCGACGAGTCAAGACAGCAAGGAAGTTCTACCCCGTGGATGAGAATAAGAAGCGAGAAGGTCGCGGAGGACAGCGCAAGTTTCAAGGGCCCGGGGCTGGATCCCGAGGCTCTGGATCGTCGAGTAAAGGACGAGGCCGAGGGAGCGGACAGCGACGTGACGGACCGCCTCGACGAGATGGAGATCGCTCCCAAGGTCGGCTGCCCCGAAAGTGGCCATGTCTGAAGTGCGGAGACAATCACGAGACGAAGGATCATCGAGATCGCGCTTCATCGGCCGGCAGCAGAGGAGATCGTGAACGCCCAAAGCGAGGTTTTGGAGCTTTCGTCTTCTTCGGCGCCGAGCAGGATGCCGAGATGGAGGCCAACCTCATTACGAACTAGACGACCCGCATCGAGCTGGAGACTGCGATGCTTCCCAAGCCGGTGATCAAGAACAAGCCGAAGCGGGAGAAGAGGCAGCTCGACAAGACCCAGTATCTTCAGGTGGAGAAGTCCATCGAGATGCGAGAGCGAGTTCAACACGTCAAGCTGCCGAGCTGGCCTACACTGGAGAAGCTCGACGACTGGATCCTCATGAGTGTAAAGCAGAGCTCCTCCAAGGGTTTCGGAATCCTGGATATCGGCGCAATCTCCAGCATCATGGGCATAGAGGCCGCCGAGAACCTACGCGACAGCATTTACGAGCAGACGGGCCAGAACATCAAGATGGACGTTAGCCAGAAGAGTACGTTTATATTTGGCGACGGCAACTCCAAGACCTGCACCGGCAAGGCTACCTTTCCCCTCAAGATTGCTGGTGTGGACGGCGAGCTCGAGATTAACATCCTCGACGCAGATGCCCCGCTCTTGATCGGAGTGGATGTTCTGAGCCGCCTGGGAGCTGTGATCGACTGCGAGGCACATTCTGTTTACTTCAAGAAGCTCGGACGTCGGGCTGAGCTGCTCGTCCTTCCGAGCGGTCACCTTGCACTGCCACTGGTTCAGAAAGCCGAGTTTGGCTTCATGGCATCCCTCGAGTAGGGGTCCACGCCCTCGACACCCGAGACTGCTACGGTGCCGGAGGGAAAACATGAAAACGAGCAGCCGATCGGAAGCAAGATTGACGAACCACCTGCATCTGTGCCCCATAAGGTCCCCGACGAGGCCCTAGATCTTGGAGCCCTGCAGGCCTCAAGCACCTCATCAGCACTTACGAGCACGGGGGCATCATTATTACCTACGCCTACGGGGACACCATCATCCTTTACGCTTACAGGGATAGCACAATCACCTACGCCTTCGGGGACATTATCAATCAAAACGTCTGGGACATCATCTGTATCGGCCCCTACGGCCTCAGCTATGACATCATCAGGGTCACCTTCAGAGGCTTTCCCAAAGATCCCCGAGTTCCCAGCGCTCCAAACGGAAACGCCACCGTTCTCCAGAGCCATTTGGGCTGCGAACGATCCGAGCTCAGAGCTCAGATTTCGGCAACCAGATTGCCTTCCATATTCGCATGAGCCTCAACCGCGAGACGAAATGCCGCAAAGCAGAGAGCCAGCAAGTGAGGCTGGAGAACGAGGAGATGAACGGCCCCTGGGAGCAGGTGGACGTTCGAGTGCCTCTGGAGGATTCGGGGGCATCGGCGACGTGCCGCTCACCGACGTCGACGAGGCCTACGCTACAACGGATATTGCCGCAAGGGCGACTGATCGCTTACCAGGACACGAAGGGCAACATCTTCTACACGGTCGAGGGCTCGGAGCTGGACAACAGCAAGAAGCGGGTGACGGACCTCTTCCTACTGGAGCACCTGCCGAACTGGGAGATGTGGTCCAGCAAGCTCCTCCGGCAGTGGACATAGTGCCGCCGCTGGGGACGGGTCATCCAGAAGGTCTTTCTCAAGACGATCGACCACGTGAACTGGAAGCTGGACAGTCTCGGCCTGCCTGTGCAGCTGCTACCCGAGAAGTACCCGACCTGGCCGACGGACCTCGAGCACCGTGCGAAGATCGAGCAGTGTCCGCCGAGCACGAAGGCGAAGCAACGCCCCCAGAAGTCGACAGCCGCGGCCGCGCGCGAGCAGAACCAAGAGCTGCGGGCCACCATCGAGACCGCAAAGTCCGATTTCTTGACCAAGTTTGCGGAGGTGAGTGCGTTTGCAGCGCTGAGCTCAGAACAGATCCACGAGCAGCTCAGCATGGTCACGCTGGGCAACCACCTCAGGCCCCTGTGCAAGATGTGGGGGTTGACCCAGTCGGGCAAGAAGGAGGAGGTGGTCGACAAGATCATAGCGCACATCATCGAGCAGCGCGGCTCGGCGGCAGCGACGATCAAGATCAAGGTGTAGACCGAGACGAAGAAGACGGAGAAGGCGCCTATGACCGTGGGCCCGGCGATTCCAGCTCACTACACGCAGACGTGCCAGCACCCGGACTGCAAGCTATGCCGAGGCATCGCGAAGAACGAGCCGATCGTGAAGGTGAAGCCCCACGGGTGGTGCCACCAGGCATGCGCTGCCAGGGCGAGGGCCTGAGTGAGGTTCAGGCCGAGAGGTCGCGCTGGCACAGTGACGAGAGCCGGCCGCTGAAAGGTCATCAGCGCCAGGCGATCCGTGCAGCGACTCACGTGACGAGATCGGCCATCTTCGGAGCTATGTGCGCCCCCACGACCTTCGGCCGCCTGAGGATGGTCGAAGCGTGTACCCACGAGGACTCCAATCTCGGGAAGGTGTGCGACGAGAAGGGCTACCACTGCGAGCGTCTCGGCCTGCTCAACGAGAACGACCTCCGTAAGCCGCAGGGTTACCACAAGGCGAAATTCTTACTGGACGAGAAGTGCCCGGAGCACTTCGTCAGCACTCCACCCTGCGGGCCCTGGTCGATCATGCAGAACGTCAACCAGCGCGATGACAGGCAAAGGGAGAACCTGCGCAGGAAGCGCCTCAAGAGCCAGCGGATCTTCGAGAACAACAAGAGGCTCATAGAGCACCAGGTGCTCAACCTGAACGGCTCGGCCCTCGCCGAGCAGCCACACAACAGTCGGTCGTGGCAAAAGACCTGCTGGAAGGACCTCCACAAGATACTCCCCTACGAGGTGATCGTGGACGGCTGCGCCTGCGGACTAAGAGCTCCCGACACAGGTGAGCTCATGAAGAAGCGCTGGAAGTTTCTGACGAACGACAAGAGGATCTGGGTGGCCCTGCAGCCGCTCCAATGCCGTGGAGGACACTACCACGAGGAGATTGAGAGCAGCCTGAGGACTGAGGCTTCGGGCTACTACCCCAAGATGCTGTGCCGCCGGATCCTCCGGGCTCTGACTAAGAGCCAGAACCAGAACTACTTCGAGGACGAGGTTGTGAAGTGCCTCTGCATGGCAGCTACCCAGCAGCCAAGGATGAGCCGTCGATTCCACCTCAAGACGGCAAGGAGACTCACGACCTCACTAAAGAGACGATCAAGAAGATCGAGAGCTACATCAGGCTGGTGCACACCAACCTTGGACATCTACCTCGAACTCATCTACTACGATACCTTCGCGACCGTGGTGCTCGCCCAGAGGTGCTACGACTGGCCAGGACATTCAAGTGCGACATCTGCGACGCGCACCGACCACCGACGAAGCGGCCACCAGCCTCATCAGCAGAGCAGCCGCAGAACGGTCACGAGGTTCTCTTCGACGCCTTCTCATGGATCCGTCGCAGCAAGAAGACGAACGTGATGGCGCTGGCGATCCTCGACGCCGGCTCAGACATCCTCTACGTGCGACTGATCGACGAGAAAGAGATCCCGGGTACGACCCGACAAGTTCGTGCCGGCGACCTTCGACATATTTTTGCGACAAAGTGGTTTCCCTGGATGGGACGTCCGAAGGTCATGCGCTACGATCCCGCTGGCAGCGCCATCTCTAACGAGTTCCGCGAGTGGATCGAGAGCCAGGGAATTACTGTCTTCCATGCGCGGCCGACGCCCACTGGCAGATCGGCAAGATTGAGCGCGCGATCGAAGCCTTCAAGGAGGCCCTCGACGCTTTCGACGAGATGGTCTCAGCTGAAGTACCTACCAGCGAGATGATTGGTCTCCAGACAGCTGCCAGGAACGACCTGATCAGGATTGACGGATTCAGCCCACTGCAGCGCTATGCCGGACGGACCCCGACGGGGACCACGGTTAACCTGTCCGACGAGCCGAACAACCTGCCCCTCATCAGCGCCGAGCTGCAGGATGGCACCTTCAGCAGGGACGCCCAAGTTCGACGCATGGCGCGGCTGGCTCACATCCAGACCGAGAACTCCGACCGAGTCAAACGGGCGGAGGTCGCGCGCTTCAGGTCCTTCAAAAGGTACGAGACGGGCGACCTGGTCTTCGTCTACAGGAGGCTCCCACCTGGAGCCTGGATCAAGAAAGGCCAACCTCGCTCCATGCCTGGGCGAGGCCGCTGGTACGGACCTGGACGAGTACTCTGCCACGAGCCATCAAGCTCGGGACATCGACCTGGTCTACCTGGGACAGTGGTCAACATCACACTGGCTGGACGCCTCTATCGAGTTGCCCCAGAACAGCTTCGACCTGCTACGCCCTCCGAAGAGGCGATGGACTCTCTACGCTCGCGTCGCGAGCAGCCGGGGACATGGACCTTCGGCGACGTCCAGAAGCTGCTCGACCAGAACGAGGTGATCGACCTTTCGAACGAGTCCCCGCCGACTGGCGAGGACCTTGCCGCTGACGACGGCGAGTCTGTCAGCGCTCGCACCTTCGAGGGCAACGCGAGCGGACCCTGGGCCATTCCTGAAGACGAGGAGCTACCCGTGCCACGAGGAGAGATCCTCGGAGTTTGGGCCCAGGAGGAGGCGGCGGCGGAGGTGGTGGAGCCATCGAGGCACCCCCAGGACTGGAGGAGCGACCTCTTCCCGGACCGCGACCTCCAAGGCGCCTTCGGAAGAAGGGCAATCCCTGGACCGAGGCGGCCGAGGTCCAAGACCCTCTCATACAGCCAGTACAGCCAGAAGCACTACCAGGCATTCCACAAGAGGAAGGCCACGAAGCTGAACACAAGAAGAAGCCGAGCTACCTGCAGAAGAGGAGATCGTCATGGAGGCCCCTCCCGACGACGACCAAGCGGAGCGTCCGTCTCAGCAGCCCATTGCGGTGGACACGGACGACGACCTCGACGAGACTACAGCGCCCGACGTGAACGATAAGCGCCGGCTGCGGTCGCCTAGCTCGACCGAGCCACCTGCCAAGAAGCAGCGGATCAACGTCGCGACCAAGGAGGCCTTCTCCTACTACCTGCAGGAGGGCAACTTCTACGGGGACTACGCCTACAGCGTCCAGCAGTACGACGAGACGAAGGAGGACGACGAGCTCATCGTGCTGGACATCCCCGTCAGCAACGAGCACGCGTTCATGGCCTACATGGACGATCCCAGCAATTTCGTGGCATCACAGGCCCGGAAGGGCCGAGTGGAGGTTTCCTTCAAGAAGGCGACGCCTGAGGAAAAGAAGCTGCTACTTGAGGCCCAGCAGAAGGAGTGCACCTCCGTCCTCAGCACGAAGGCTGTCAGGATCCTCAGCCGCAAGGGGATCGACCCGGCGCGCCTGCTGCGTTGCCGCTTCGTGCTGACCTGGAAGAAGGACGAGCAGGGCAACGTGCTCCGAGGCAAGGCCAGATTGGTCGTGCTTGGCTTCAGCGACCCCGATATACTACACCTACGGACAGAATCACCAGTTGCCTCAAGACGTGCACGACAACTTCTACTGGCCATTGCAGCAAGACACAAGTGGAAGCTGGAGAAGGCAGACGCAGTGACAGCCTTTCTCCAGGGCGAGACTGACGAGGAGAAGAGGAAGATCTACGCCGACCCGCCGAAAGATGTTCGTCTGGCATTCGGCATGAAAGATGACGATGTACTACAGTTCCTCAAGCCTATGTACGGGTTCGTACATGCTCCTCGCAAGTGGTGGCTCCATTTCAAAGACACGCTCAGGACGCTGAAGCTGGAGATCGTGCAGTGCGAGCCTTGCGTCTGGGTAATCCGAGACGGCAACAAGATGGTTGGCGTGGTCATCCTACACGTCGACGATATGATGATTGCCGGCGATCACAACAACTCGGCCTTTCTCAAGAAGCGTCAGGAGATGCAACAAGCGTTCGAATGGACACCCTGGGAGAGCCGAGCGTTCGTGCAGTGCGGCATCAGCATTCGACAGAACGAGGATTACACCTGCAGCCTCGCACAGGACAGCTACAGCCTGAACGTGGAGCCCATCAAGATACGACGTGGACGGAAACCCACAGAAGGAGTTTCAGACAAGGAGAGATCGGACCTACGAGGCCGACTTGGTACAGTCGGATGGCGAGCTCAGCAGTCGGCCCCGTGGCTCAGCGCAGAAGTCTCTCTACTTCAAGCGGAGATACCTACGGCCACGGTCTCAACCATCCAGAAGATCAACAAGCTTATCCGCACCATGAACGACACCGCCGACGTGGTCATGCTCATCCCGGCCATTGAGCAGATTGCCGTGGTTGGCTGGGGCGATGCAGCCTGGGCCGCCCGTATCACCGGCGAGTCCCAAGGCGGAGAAATCGTTGTTCTGGCCCCCCTGTCCTTCCTGAGTGGCTCGACAGAGACGGTTGCGCCTACCTCTTGGAGATCATGCAAGCTACCAAGAGTGGCCAGAGGCAGTACGAGTGCGGAGGTCCAGATGATGACTGAGACCCTGGACGAGATCAGTTACGTGCGACTATTGATCTACGAGCTGGAGTGCGGTCAAGTGGACTACACCAACAAACAGCACGTGAACGACGCCATCTCATCCTGCCCTGGCGTACTGGTCACAGACGGTAAGTCGGGCTACGACGCGATCGAGAAGAGTGAGTCAGCTGGTCTCGGCCTACGTGACAAGCGGACGAGCATCGAGTGCCTGGGCATTCGACAGCAGAAGGAGAAGACGGCCCTCCAGATACGCTGGGTACACAGCGACGCCATGTTAGCCGACGGGTTGACCAAGGATCGTGCCGCCAAGGTCTTGCTGGAGTTCATCAGGTCAGGCCAACGCTGGAGACTCGTGGACGACCCCCTTCACCGCAGTGCCTGGAAGCGCAAGACCGAGGGCTTGGACAAGCTCGACCATGGCAAGCCGATCTCGGACGATGACGAGGATGCCATGCTGGAGGCCCTAATCTACTACGCCCGCGACAACCCCGACGAGCAGGAGAGCCCTGCTGGAGATGCAGCCCTGTGGGGCATGATGGAGCCGCTCACGCGCTCTGTGCTTTCTGTGAATTCAGTTGCCAGAGGCAGGTCTCGATGCCGTAACATCGATCTTTAGCTTTTGGGCATGCAGTTCACAGCCCAGAGCCTGCCTCTTCTGAGCCTACTTACGACAAATGGCCCATCGAGGCCAAGCGTGATATATATGCTTCAGGCTCCAAAGGAGCCTCGTGTATGTTAGCCAAGCGTTTCCTGGCGAATCGGGCCCCCTAAGACTCCAGGTTTCAGCAAGCCTTGCTCAGTAGGCCCTCCGTTTCCCTAGCAACAAGTTGCAACATATATTATAAACAGAACAGGTTCAACCGAAACCGTTCTGGCTCAAGACCTTGCAGCGTCTCAGCGACGCTGGATTTCTGGTGTGCGTCCAAAAGACGCAGAGCAGCGAACTGCCCGGTAACAAACAGATCCTGTTCCCCACCATAGTGCGATCAGCATCGCACAGCCACTGCCCCATCGTATACGACCAGTTTTGAGACGAGCCCAACACTTCCTATATTGATATCAACACATTGTCAGAGAAGAGAAGAGAGTAGCATCTATTCAGGATTGCTATCAGGGCAGTGGTCAGAAGCGGAACCATTGCAGCCTCGGGGGGGCGCTCCACCCCGACCATCAACATCTTCATTATCTTGCGGTTTCTGTATTTTCTTGTGGTTTCTTATGAGTGTACGGTTGCTTTTTAAAGAATAACTTTAGAATCAAGCGGAATCCTTTAAAAACCACCTGTAAAACACATAAATCCGTCAAAAAGATAACGAAAACCCGTAAAAGATATGGTTTTCCTGTAAAAATGCCACGGGGATCCAAATTACGGGTCCGAGCGGATCTTGGCTATATTGAAAGTATCGTGGGGCCTTGGGTGTCTGGGGTGGCTTGGGTGTCTGGGGTATCTTGGGGTACCTGGGGTATTTGGGGTATATTTTGTATCTTGTGTATATTGGGTGTCCTGGGTATCTTGGGTCACGAAACGTGCGACTGGGCAACAAGAAACCCAACGTTCGACAGTAGCGTCTCGGGCTCGAGCCAACGGATTCTTCCTCGGGGCTTTCACGACCTCGAGGCTTCATCTTCGTTCCCTCGAGGCTTCGTCTTCGTTCTCTCGGGGCTCGACCCCGAGCCCTCATGGCATCGACGCAAGGCCACTTCCGCGGCGTTGTCCCAGGCGACCCGTTTCAGAGCAGCAGCGTCGGCAACTACGACCATGTGATGAGGAGGGCGGAGGTCAACCTTCAGAGCACGGCCTTTGTCCTGAAGGACGTCGGCGCTGGCATCTCCCGCGAGATTGCCACGCTGCAGGATCACAAGCGCATGATCCAGCTCAGCCTGGTGCGCGCGAAGCATGGCAAGGCGGACAACGTCAAGGACCAGATGGCCAAGTCGGAGTACGAGTATCAGCTGAAGGACCAGATCGACTCGCTCACGAAGATGATCGATGAGCTCAGCAAGCAGCACGGCTTCATCAACATCAAGGCGAACCAGACAGTCGACGTGACCAGCGACAAGAACTACAACGAGCCCCAGAGCGACGAGCAGGCGATCATCATGAAGCTGGAGACGGGCGAGGAGACGCTCCTGATCGAGAAGGATGGCGCCCCCTACCAGGTCCCGTGGAAGGCTGGCGATCCGAACTCCTGGGTGCACTACGGCTGGAAGCAAAAGGACCCGTCCTTGTGGGTGGATCCCCTGTCAGGCGGCAGCAGTGGCAGCAATCCAGCGGCGCCCACGGATACCAAGACTCTCTGGCTGGAGAAAAAGGTCGAGGCACTCGAGCGCAAGTTGGCGGAGTCGACCGCTGGGCCCTTGGAGCAGGCTTTCCCTAAGCGCGGCGCGGCCTGAGTGAGGGAGCGGCTCATCATGCGAGTGCGAAGCCTGTATTTTTCTCACCAGTGGCGTGGAGACGCGAAGGCTGTAGTTTTTTTCCCGCCGACGGCGTGGGGACGAAGCGATTGGATGAACTATGCTATTGGGACGTGCAGCGATGCGTGCACTGATAAAACCAGTTGGATCGCCAATGCAATATTCATTGCAATCTGCACTGAAGCACGCAATCGCTATAAGGTCAGCATCCTTGCCATCATGGGTTCCAATTGTCATAGGGTCCGCATCCTTGCCATCAGAGGCCCTCAGGAGAGTGGAAGGACGCCCCATGTGGCCCCAAGAGACCCACAGGCCCCAAGATGCCCTGAGAGGCTCGTAGGCCCCAAGAGGCCGCAAGAGGCCCCAAGGCGAGAGCCCCATTTTGGAGGAGGAGCCACATTTCAATCGTGAACGTTCCGTGTCCTAAGAAATCGGAGGCCACGCCGTAACGGGTGACACGCACTTTTTCTGCGTAACGATTGATTGGGAAATCCATTCCAAATCCGAAACCCAAATCCCCCTCCGTCCCAGAGTTCCCTGGGCTGTCCTGATTTTGGTGTGTGACTGCCAATGGTTTGCGTTGTGCGTGTGTCTTTGAAGTTTGTTTCTGCCCACGCTGCCCATGTTGGTCAAAAGTTTCTAAAGGGGGGGGGGGAGTGCTTTGGCCTGAACGTTCTCTTTCCTGTGATGCCTGGACCACACCACACCACACGCACGCAAATTCCCCTCCCCCCCCAAAAAAATGATACCACCGTGTTCTTGCATAGCCACTTTGGCTCAGCATGGCAGCCCTTCGGACCCCTGGTTGCGACCTCGGAGATGACGATGCTGAGCGCATCTTCGATTCACACATCAAGATGTCGCAATGCACCCCAGACAAGCTGTGGTGTTTATCGCGCTTGACA